TATATTGAACAAGATTTGCTACTTTGGAAAGGAGAAAGAACTTACTGTTGAGAAAGAAAAAGAACATTTGTCAATAAAATACTTAAATTGACAATACTAATGAAACTTTGGCATTTCCCTTTTTTCAGTCGAAGAATTCATATTTTGCAAAAATTTTTTATTACGTGCGATGATTTAAATTCTGAGATGGCAATTAAGTTACTCGATGGAATAACTTTGTTCCAGTGAAAAGCTAAACTTGCACCAATGAGACAAGAATCGATGAAAACATTAAATCGAGTCGATCGACTAACATGATCGATCGGTCGCTTCTGCGAAACGTCGCCTCCTCCCTAACGCTTGAAGTGCATCAACAAGTCTGACGTCGATCAGCGATATTTCGATATGCCAACGATCGCGCTCTGTTCTGCCACAAACATAACTAGGACATTGACCGTCGTGAACCTTCAGCGTTGCGGCATCACAAACAGAGTTCATGATGGTTGACCTTCCATTGTCATATTCGGATTTGACGACTTCAAGAAACTATCATAATTCCTTGCCTGTACTTCGCTTTGACTTGTAGTCAGTTTTTTGGTTGACTTGTCATTCGACTTGTGGTCAAGCAATTTAGGTAAAAAATTAAATTTTGCCAAAGGTGAACTTTTACTCCGCTTGTGTTCTTATTCGAATTGAAAAAATAAATGCTTTAAACAGCTCGAAATAATCGATAATAAACATATGAGATACTACTGCATTTGTGATATAACATGTGATGTTACAGTGACACGAAGCGTATGTGCGTGACGTCTAAGCAAAAACATTTAGAGCTAAACGATTGACGAAAAATTTGTTAGGACTTCTGTGCATTATTGGATGGACGGCAGATATAGCAATGCCAATTTATAATGTAGCTTATACACCTACATAAAAGACTTGGCAACAGTTAATTTTTAAAATAACTTTTCAAGCGAGGTGATCTCAACAGCATGCAGTCAGAGGTAGTCATTCGTGTAGTTGAAAGGATGACGCGCAAGTTACCCATTCCTGGATTCAAATGCATGATTTTTCGACTATCAGCCGGTCACTTGACTGACTGAGTTACCACACAAACATTTTAAGTTTGCATTATTTTTCACTGCTATACTACGAATCGAAAAGGTTTCATTTATAGTAATTATTTCCAGAAGTACGAACCCAGTATTTTCTGCTGAAATTTTCTAAAAAATAGTTTATCTTGAAAATCATTGCTCAGCAGTCTACAGGTATCACCCGGTAGTTCCAATCGGAGTTTAAGGGGAAATTGACCTGGGAGATGACGGAGTGCCTTTGCAGATGCTGGCTGTTAGTATTCTTCTCAGCTAATTTGTTTTTTCTCATGAACTTTAGAATAGCGTTATTTTCACGAGTGCTTTGAACAGTATTATTTGTCGATCGATTTGCAGGCGTGGCTCAGGCCAGTGGATGGGCATTTCAGAGGGTGAATATTGGGCGAAGCTTGTAGTGTATTTTTTTGCTATATTCTGAATATCGCTCAGCGCATCAGCACCTATGGTACGTGTGAGAGCAAGAGCATGTGGAAGAATGGCGAATTATTTAATTATAATAATTTAATCACTCCGTCGATTGAGTGACACTGTTACGATGGGGTGCTGATAACGAAGAAACGGGGAGTCCGGTGACTGAGACGTGGCCTTGTTTCGGCTGACTGTCTTTCGTCGTACTTGCGGCGTTGTTCGTTGAGGGAATCTATGAAGATCTCGTTTCTCTCGGTGAGTGGAGAAGAACGTGGATACGCATTTTGAATCTATGTTTACACCTATTCTAATTTGTGACTTATAGATTCGTGTTATCCCTTGGACGGGAGGAATATGAAGTTATCTTTTGTAACATATTTCTAACCTTTATTTGGAATTGGAAGTGTTGTGCGTATGAATCATAAAAGATTTTCGATGATGTAGATTTATCTTATGGTTTCACTTGGTGACACCCGAATTCTTTTTGAGGATGCCGACAGAAAAGAGTACTGTTTCCTTGAAAAAGGATGAGGATATTCCATGGGATGGGAAGATTAGGTTACTTTTATTACAATTGCTGTTTTTTACAACTGCTTAGAAAACTATTACTTTGAATTAGGCAAGATGTCGGTAGTTCCTATTGTGTCATTCAATGGCAACGTATGGTTTCATGGTTGTGTAGAACGAATCATGTCTCATGTAAATTCAGCATTTTTTCTCACGTGATTTCAGTGATTAGCATTAAAGATATTTTCTTTTGGTTTAGAGGTCATAATTGGTTTTATTGATGTTCTGTTTCTACCTTCGATTGCTTTAGACATGACAGAAGTATCGCTCCGTTTTGTTCAATTACGCGATCGTTACTAAACGACTTACCTGTTGTTAATTGGGTGGTGGTGAAAGTAATGGTGGTAGTTTTTTGGTGGACGCAAAGTAAGGATTTAATTAATTAACGTAATTATGAGTTATGACAAAGAACCGCGTAATTTTCCTGACCCCTTCAAGAGGTTGAACAGTTTGAGTGTCGGCTCGATCATCTTCGGCAGTGCACTATCCAGCTAGAGTTAAATAAAAGGATTTCTCTAGCCTCTGTGCTTCTAGAGATTTCTTCAATATTTGGGTTGAGAAAGAAATGACTATTTGCACAAACCGGCTGTATCTTGCCTCTGTCAGGTCATTGCTATTGTGCGGCACAGAGACGGTTGTTCTAACGAAGGAGCATGAACGATGGTTGAAATGCGTACAGCAGCGTTGGCTTCGATGCGTAATCATGGTTAAATGGCAGGGCCATACAAAGAATGACTCTTTTCAGCGCACAGTTGACCTCGCTAGATGTAGAGATTAAGAAAAGTAGATTAGTCCTGTTAGACTGACTCGTTTAGCATAGCTTTAGCCCATGAGCTACCTGTGTGGGGGTTGGGCCGAATCACAGACGACGTCGACCAGAGGATCATCGTGCAACACGGATGAACAGTGTAGAAACGGATCTGCTTTCGGAGATGAATATTTCCTTCTACGATACGGTAATCGGTACCTTAAGCAGTAGTATTGTACTGGTAACCTAACAAGAGTGTTGTAAACTGCCAACACAGCGGACATCACAAACCAGAGACATTCTGCTTTTGCAGATTGCTATAGGTAATGATCTCAGTAAACATCAAACATATAGCAATTGGCCCTGAAAATTAGGAGAATATTAATTGCAATGGACACCCGATAGGTGATTCTCTAGCCATTCATTAGGGTTAACTGGCTGATTGGATCTTGCGTGGTAGTAGCGAAAGAAGATTGATACTGTATGTTTAGATCATAGGTTAAGAAGAGGCTATATAATACAGTTTGTCTGAATATTACGCAGAATGAATCACCGTATAGTTTACATTGCTTATACTTAAGGCTCTAGGTGATAATTTCAGCAAGCACGCGTTTACATAATGAGTTATGTAGTCGTCATTATTTGCAAGTTTTTTAGGTCGCAGTTTTTCGTTACGAAAAGAGCAATAAAAGTTTTTGATTTATGTTACTGTCTAGAGTAATAAGTTGTTCATACCGTAGGGACTGAAACAAATTTGATTTTCGGTCCAGATTGCGAATCTGTGGTTTCTGTCGCATTACTGTCAAAGTCAGAGCGTAAACTTAAATATGCATTCAGCAGTGCTAGGGCTTAGGTATAGGATTAGGCTTAGTAATAATCCTTAAAACCGCTGTATTACCTGCCAGTTGTTGGTTGTCTTCGGCATGTGAGGCATCACGATCAAAGACCGAGTACCCAAATTAATTAATGATTTAGGCGATGCTGATTGGTGCGGCAATGGTCATTCCTCATCGTAAGCAAATCCAGCTCTAGTTGCTGCTTCAGGATCGATATTTGCCGTCGACACGCCACGAAAGACGGCGGTCCTTGACTTCTTCAGACAGCAATCTCAGGCCAGTCATCTTCAAAATCTTTTCATTCTTTATTAGATGCACCCATCGCACTTTGAGAATGTTTTGTAGACAACGTTACTGAAAAGTTTCCAACACTTTTTCATCGAATTTTAATAGGTGGTTTTTTTCGAGGTTGAATATCAGGAAAAAAAGGCTTTTAGTATGGTGTTTTTCGTACTGAATCGCAAATCACTTTCACTCCATAAAGTATTTTCGGATGACGGTTGTGGACGTCGTCCACATAGACTGCTCTGCAAAACTTCTCTGTCACGTATATGATTATTAATCCAGCTTCTTTTTCTCGATTCACTCTGTGAGACAAAAATTTCATGTAAATGTTTACTCTAACGTGCTTCTTTGTGACAGAACTCAAAAAAATAAGCAGATATTAATGCTTCGGTAATGCTAATATCTGTTATTGTTTACTTGGTGTCACTTTGTGTCTTAGCGAAACGCGTGTTGCTAATCATTTACATAATATTCTTGTCTCATACTATGAATCTAGGAATTGGATTTTTGGTGTATTTCCGTATCGATACAGACTGGGAATCTGTATTGTTGTTTCTCTAAAGCAAGAGGAACGTAGATCAGAGCGTTTGCTACAAGAGCCTCATGTAGTGCCTTAATCTATTCACTTCTTGAGATTTTATGGAGGTCGTAATTTTCCTCATGCAGATGGACAATGAGAGCCTGTGATTGCGAGAAGTCTTTTGTTGCAGATTCTCATGAATATGAAGGAAATGGGGTGCCACGAAGCTACGCGTAATGGGTTTTAAATCTGTGTTTGAAACGCTACTTGAATGATATCTTCCTGATATCTAAAGATAATGAAGACTTCATGTATGTGTCTATTCTTGAGTTTTGTTGCCAAGTGGAGCTGTCAGTTCGCCGCTTTGCTCCACCTTTCACTGCAGCTCCCCTTTCTCCCGTTCTCTTCTGAACTCCGGACGCTCGCTTTGGCAGCTCAGCGCAGACTTAATGTTCCAAATTCGTCGTTTTTCGGTGATTGAACCCATACTTTTTTCTAATTTATTTAATACAGAACTTTCCGTGGCTGTATGTACGTCGTACTTCGTGATGCGTTCGTTGAACCTCGGTACAAGTATCAGTCACCTTCCTCTAATGACCCTCAAGAAGCTTACTGTAGCTGCTCTTTTACGAAATTCGAATTATCAGTGCGAACATGGTCTTCAAGTTGATTGACAGGCAAACCTTGAAAAATCTGGAACTGTAGGACATCTTTTGCTCTACATTATTTTTTGCAACATCCGCTCCATTCAAAAAAAGCTGAGAATTCAACAATACCTCTATCCTCCTCTTCCAAGAGCCTTGGTTTTCAGATGAAGTTGACGACTCACTGGTTTCGATTGCCGATTTTCAGTCATTTCGAGTTGATCACCATTCTGCAATCTGATCTCGCGGTGACGGAGTGACCACTTATATCTTATGGGATTAAGGGTCAACCCAACAGTGAAGTATTTCTTTGAATCTTACAGAATTGACTATCTCATTGTTCACTGCTTGCGAAGATTCATGCGTCTGCACCAGCATATGATAGTCGAAAACGTCTGAAGAGTTCTAGATATCTCTTTCCTCGTTTCTGTCGGCTGCTCTACAGACAAATCGAATCATCTGAGTTGGCGATTTCAACCAGTTGTCACGGTCTGGAATTTCTCGGATCGTTCGGACTTACAAACATTGTACTCTTTTATACACATGATTCGGCTATCATGAAGCATATGTTTGTTAGCCATGCCGAAGCTTACTCCACTCGAAGTGCCGTTACATTTCGGTTGTCGAATCACTGCACTGTGTGAATTTATCTGAGTTTATGGAAAATTGATCGGTAAAAATCAATGCGCAGAAGTGGAATGGCCTGCACCGCCTCATCGAACTAGGCTCTGTAGGGATCGGGACAGTCATCAAACTAAAATCCGCAAGCTGCGACGATTTTTTAGCTCCTTCAACTGGACTAGTCTTTTGTCTTTGATATGTGCCACAAGGAATTAGATATTGCAGTTGCTCGAATAGAATCATCAGGTCCTAATAGGCAGTTCTAATTGTTTCTGTGCAATGGAAAAGTTTCAGGTAAAAAAGCACCTCAGTACATTTGAAACGGCGAATCCGCCACCAGAAAGAAAAAGCCTATAGAAGCCGAAGCACGAGCCTCTGTCGTAAGTTGTCCATTCAAGTCAAAGCAGAGATTCGGTGGCTGAACGAATTGTACGTGAAATACTACGTTGTCCCGAAGAATCTGTGGTACAACATGAAGTCACTATGAAACACGGCGCAGTCAGGCTTTACCCTGAAGAATGTCCCTGAATCCAAACACTTAAACGACCTCAGCTGACACTTCCTCCTTTTTGAGAGCGAAAATTCGATCTCATCTGACTTCACTGTTCTACTGGCAAATGAAGAACGTGATCCGGTTCAGTTCATCCTGGGAGAGATCCGATCTTGTCTCGAGCGTGGTGTCTTTGCTCAAAGTGTCTCCCAGTCCAGATGGAGCCAACTCGCACACACAAACTTAGTTCAGCCAAGCTGTGCCATATTTTATGGCTTCTGTTTTACCGCTGCTTGCACTACGCACTTATTTCTAGCTCATGGCATACAACAACCATAGTTTCGATGCTGTCGAAGGGGTGGTGAACTACAGTTGACCTCGTTTACTTTTACTTCTGATCCATCGCCTTAACTTCTGCTATCCTTAGATACTTAAAAATTTAATTCTGCCCATCACAGAAGAGAATCTCGGTTATTTGACTAATCAATGGCAGTTCGATATCTGTCCTCAGTTTTCAGTACTGTCCAGGGTGACCGTCTGCTGCTGAAGTTTCGCAGGTTCCGTGGACCGGTCGAGCTTAGGGTGGCTTACCAGCTGTTGTCTCACTGTCGCTAGTTAGTGATGTTTGGTCACTAAAAGTCAGACATTCTGCCGAACAGTTTAGATGTAGTCCCAATGATTGGCTTTATCACCACTGTTATTCAGTTTATTGTAAATCACAATCTTTCATGCTCCGCTGATATGTATCAGATATGCAAACGACGTAGTCATCCTAGAATCTCGAAGTCGTCTAAAGACTAGAATAGTTACAAGAATGATTTCTCCACCGCCTGCCGTTTCTTCTCCTCAAATAGTCTCAGGAAAAATCCGGAGTAGACAAACTGTTAATCTGTGTGATGCGAGACATCAAAAAGAGGGCACTTCACCTTTTCACTGAGCTGCTGAACACTGATAGTCAACCGGTGCCTCAGTTACAGTACATCAAGTACCTGGGCGTGTATGTACAACTCGATTTGTAATTTTTTATGCCCACCAGTTGTCTTTCGGGTGAGCTACATGACCGATCTATCTCCTCTTGGCCTCGTACAAGGCTGAAATTACATGTAATTTAATCCAGCCTGTTGTCGAATATGTGTGCTCGAAATGTGATCCCGGAGATAAGACTTATTACATTATTCGTCCATTGCTCTTTGCGTTGCCGTCAGTTTATCTTCAACTTTAGTGACAGACCAACATTCAGCAGGAGGGGCGGTTGTTAAATCGAACAGTTTCTTTTTTCACCAGCTTGGATGGCTCGCTGTCGAATAATGATGTTTTAATACGGTTAAAACTGATCCATGCCTCCTTCCTTTTTCTGTTGATTTTTTCGTCTAGCGAGTTCATATACTAACGTAGATAGTTGAAATTGTATGGAAAATATTTTCGTAATGTATTAAATAGTATGTTATTGTTTATTGGCAATAGAATTAATTGTTTTTATTGTAGAGTCAGTAGTTAATTGTTGACTCTCGTCAGCCTGAAGAAGATCCGTTTTTCACTGCTTGTTTTGCTGTTTTGTATTTGTTCATATGTTACATCCAGGGTTTCAGCAACTTACCGTGTGCCTCAGAGTTCACTTAGCTAAATTTGACTGAATGGGAGCTGTTTAATCACATTTCACTGTTCTGGTCATACGCGACGTAATTTTTGTCATTTCCTTACTTCTAAAGGCATATCAGACTTATCAAGCAGGTCACAGCTCCATAGCACACCTAAAAAGCATGAGCGCAAAACCTCATTACGTTAGGTCGAACAACAAGCCCTTTGATTTACGAACGAAAATACTTGCATCCACCACTGCAACTCATTTTTGTTATTCTCATCCGTGAAAAACTGGCCTGTGCTCGAAATCGCATTCGCATGCAGTAATATCGCTATGTATTGACTTGTAAGACAGCATCTTTTAACTATGTGAAACAAG